TTAGGGTACCCCTTAACAGCTTGAGGAGCTGTGATTCATCCAAAATGATAAAGGCGGAATTGCTTGTGTAATTTACAGGTGCCAAACCGAACGCATTAAATCTGAGTTGCTTACATAGTTAGAAGCACGATGCTTTTCACGGGATTAACCGCCCGGTTCCCGTGTTGCTACAAGTTCCCTTCAGCCCTTCCATAATCCCTCGGCCAGAGGAAGCCCGTGAGAAGAAAAAGAGAGCTGCTGGAGTATGCACCAGAGGGGTGAAACAGCTAGAGAAAATATTTAACAAGTGTTGGGTATTGTCTGAAATTACTTTTTAATTAATACCCAACAACTTCTGTTAACTTTTTTTTCTGAATATTGTTCACTAGTCTGACAGCTTGCTCGTGGTGTGGGCAGATAGTTCAGGGTAAATTTTAAATAATTTTGCTGACAATGATTTTTCAGTTGTATAGTACTAGAATGTGTTTATTTTAAACTGAACATTCTTTCTGCTACCTTATCAGCAATCTTTCTTTATTCCTACGCAGCCCTTATCACAGAAGTATTTATTTATAATTCTTTCTTTGCAGGCTAATACCCTACACAGAAAGTGAGACTCAATCACACGCACATGCTGGTCGCTGGAGGAGAGGCACGTTTTCATTTAGCAGTGTTGTTATTCTTTGGGGCGAAATGAAGAATTTGATTCTGGTTTGGAAACATTCAGATTTCTAATGCAACTGAACTTCAGTAGCCTTTTTTTTGCAGTACAGATTTCAGCAAATGTCCTTTTCTTAAAGAAAGATGCAGAACCTGGCACTAGCAGAAAGCCTCGCTGACCGAGACACGTCCCAGCAGATGTCTCTAGAAGCCCTCGCAGCTGAAGGAGGTGGTGCGGCTGGCCGTGAGCTTGACTGTCACTTGAGCGAAAGGACAAATACCGAAGAAATTCTGGATCCTGAAGTTATGCAGCAAAGCTTCCCAGCAGTGAATAGCAAAGGGGGGAGTTCCGAGGGGTTTTCTGAGAGCAGTTATAGTTCCTCAGAACCCAGCAGTTCCTGGGGTGATTTTGAAGGCTTCAGGGAGAGCACAGACCCATCAGAGAGATTCAGTCATAATCCTGAAGTTTTGGTGATGTCAACAAAAACTTCCAGAGTTGATGCGGATGTAAGCAGCGGACGTGGTGGCACTTCTGCTGGTCACTTCTGTTCTGAGCCAATGCTGCCCAGGGGGATATCGAAGGCTTCGAGCTCCCTAAACGAGGTATGTGTGGGTAGTGAACCAAAGACAGAGAGATGTTTGTGTTGCTGTTCCCTACAGCTCAAGTTTTGTTACTGGATATCTTCTCTATGGAGCATAAGGTTTTACGGGAAAGAAACTGTCAAGCTACTCTGCAGCTAATTCGAGTGGAACACAAGCAACTTCTTTACAGTGTTTGACAGATACTTAACTTGTCCTGCTTGGGGAGCTTTAAAGAATGTAATGTGCTGCTCTACTTCGAGACACCAGGAATAACTAAGCAGGTACAAACCACGAACCTTGCCCTAAAGCACACACACGATTTACAAGCTAGACACGAATGAGCATAGGAAACAAAAAGAATCGGAATGGTGAGTGACAAAAAGAGGGTGGAAAAAAATTCTATGAGTTGACTGCAAGCTTATTGAAGTAAACCGATGTAACATTGAGTTAGAAATTGGCAAAACCTATAACTTTTGGTATTTAATATACTGTCTGAACAGTCCAACAGTCTTTCTGGAATTTCAGATTGATGGCAGCAGTTAATGACACAAAAACAATTAATAGAAATAATTTAATATAATTAATATTTTAGCATAGGCTGTTACATTCTCTCCTACAATGTTAGAACTAATAATCTAGTTTATATTTGTATTTACCAGCACAAAAAAAAAAAAGGATCAAATTCAGAGTTATACTTTGCTGCAATTAATGGCTTTCCATGTTTGCAGAACACGCATCACCAAAGTGACACAAAGCAACAAAAGGAAAATAAGGATGTACAAATACAAACTCAAGTGCCCTCATTCATACTACTTTTATTCTAAATTAAAACGTTTGAAAGAAGAAAGCAATCGACTTTGTTGGGGTTAATCAGTAGCAGTAATAGATTACTGCTGTTGGTCCTCCAGGTGAGCTTTGGTATGTGTAGGGAACAGAGGGTTTTCTGGAGACAGGTTCTCCTGCCCTTGCCTGGGAACTTCACCTGCTGGCAGAGATACCACTAAGTAGAGCACAAAGGTACACATGGGATAAACTGCCAGCATTGGTAGAGTGGAGATAATGAGATATCTCCATAACATAAACAGAGAACTTAAATTGCTTGGAAATTGGGGACAGGAAGTCTTATGTTATACGAAAGAGAGTATGTAATAACTGGGGTTGAAATGGAGTACAGCAGATCGTTTATAGCAGATCTACTTTCTTTCCAAGAGCAATAGATCTTAATCTTACTGAAGCCTTTGCTTGCTTTTTGCATTTATTAAAGGCAAAGGAAATGCCCATTATGAGCTAAGTAAGTTAACCATGCCTAGAGTTTCAAGTAGTCTTTTCTTGTCACAGGGTAGAGAAACGGCTGCAGAGGTATTGGAGATTTCTTTGGGTGTAGAATACGTGTGTAGCTTGTCCTTCATCCCTGGGCTTTCTGTATTGTTTGAGATCATAAACTCTTCAGGGTGGGGCTCTTTCATCTGTATGGTCCAGGCAGTTTCATCTGAGGTCAGACTGCTGGCCTTAAATATCTAATGCTTCAGTTAATTACACGTTGGCATTCTGGAGCAGAATCATGTATTTTAAGATGAAAACAATCACTAATTTCCTTGCAGTATCTGGATATTTTGCCTACATGATTGAGTAACTTTAAGGATTGTTCATGCGTTCTTTAAGTGCTGGCCTCTGTGAGCCCTAGGGACTAGTGCACTTGCTTAAGCACTGGAGTATTCTGATATGACAGGATATAGAGGATTTAATCAAAAAGCTTGTATGTGAAATTTTTGCATTCATATTTTTATAATTAGCACAAGGCTGCAAGGTAAATGGAAGTATACCTACACTTTGTTTTAGAAACACCCACTGAAGCAGACAGTAATAAAGGTAATAAAATCTTGTCTTTTTGGCCAAACTGTAAGCCACTGACTCGTATGCATGTCAGAATAACATCCCAGGCTCTAAGCAGGTATTACAAGTGGGGCAGATTGATGCTTCCCCTGACTCATACTTCTGTGCCTGTATTTCCCCTCCACCCCAAAGCCAAGAGCAGCTGCCTGACTTTTCCTTAGCTCCCGTCCCATTTCGGTTTTGATACCTGCTTTGAAGCTTCTTTCCCTTGAGTGTGACTCCCCACGAGTGCTTTAGGAAGTGTGTTTTCACAGGATTCTGCTTCTCCAGCATTTTTGTCCTCCATATAGTATCCCTGTGGCAAGTTAGGTCTACTGAAATGATTTACAAATCAATTTAAAGTATTATGATGTTTTGGCAAGATAAAGAAAAAAAAATTTACCCAGCATTCTTTGAATGTCCCAGCAGTCACCTTTTGGGACAGGCAGTTTAGCAAGGCCTTGCTTCAGGAGGGAGGAGAGTAGGGCACAAATTCCATTTCTAGAAGCATGCTGGGTAGTACAGGAGCCTTCTGCCAGCTCTGTTGTTTTTGCCCACTCATCATCAGATTAAATCCGTATTCTCTCAGTATTCACTGCACTTGTCTAAGTTCAGTATAATTAAACTGGAAATATCTCAATTTATTTCAGCTGTTTGAATTACAATTAAATGAAACTGTCAAAACATGGAGTATCCATCCCTATGTTTTTCAGATTAAATTGTTGATTGCTAGGCAGAGAAACAAACTGACTGGTTTTCTTCTCTAGCTTCGACACAACATTGCTGCTCCTGGATTGCAGTCCCTCTGCAGGGTGTTGAAGTCAATTAATTGCTTTGATTTAGAAAATTGCAGTGATTTTTACTTTGAAGGAATAAAAGGACAAGGCTGCTGGACCAGATGGCATGATAACATCCCTTTAGGAGAAGATGTAAATTATACACGTTTTTCCTTGTGTATGTAGTTCTTAGTCTTCAGATTACCCTGTTACTTCCAGTAGGCCTGTTCAGATCACTTGTTTTCAGTCTTCCAAGCCTCCTCCTCCTCACTGCTGGAGGGGGAACAAGTATGTAAATCTGGCTCTATTTTTAACATAGGCTGGAAAAAGTTTGCTGCAAATGCAAGAATATACAGACGTACCCCAGCTTCTTATGCAGGCTTACGCATTGGGAGTATTTATTGGTGACTGTAGCATTTAGTAGTTACGTTACACTTGGCTACATTAGCTGTGTTCAGATACTAAGTTAACAAAACAAGCTTTTGAATTGATGTATAAATCAGTTTTGAACTGGACTAAATTAGCTGAGCAGCAGGATGACTCTTGAGTGCTAATAGGCAATAGAGCTGAGTAGCTAGAGGCTAAGGTTCATCAGAAACTCTTGGACTCTTGCTTCTCCTCCTCTAATTCCAAGTAAATGCTCAAACCACTGAACTATGGACTCAGTCCCTCTGTGCCATTATTACAAATTTTTAAAAGTGTCAATAATACAATCTCTAGAAATATCACAGCCTTTGGACTAGGTCCTTCACGAATTGTGGGTGTGGCCTGTATAACATATGTAATGAAACTCTGTTTTTTCTAGGCAAAACACAGCTATGAGGATATATTTAAGTTGGGCTTTCCAGAAGTCTTTGTTTCACAGTCCAAAGAGAGCATAAGAAGCTTAGATCAAGTGCTTGATACAAATAATGAAGATGTTGGGATTCCTGAACTTATGAAGAATCAACTTTGGTAATAAGTTTAGATCAACAGTTTAAAAAAGATAATTGAAAAGTTCCTCAGCAATTATGCTGTTTAATTCATAATTAAAAATAATAAAAATCAGTGGTACTTGTAGGTGAACTTTAAAATATTTTAAAATTATTGTATTCTTCAGCACATAGATCTTACCAGTTTTGTATTGTGTTGTTAAGGGAAATGGATCAGGTATTAGCCATTGGGAAACAAGGAAGGGAGTACAACAAAATCACAAATTTTGTGCTTAGTGTTTTTCCTGCAGTTGGTGTGCCTTCTCATGACTAAGCCTCTGGAATGCCACATCACCCAACAGGCAGCCTGTTCTTCCTGTTTGCTTGTCCTTTCTTTACAACACATCTGACTTAGTTCTCCCTCATCTGAGGCAGGAACATTGCTGCTGCTTCTGCTGACAATCTGCTCACTTCTTTTTTCTCTCTTCTGAATATTCCCAGGTGGTAACTTCTCATTGCTTCAGAATCTGTGGTGCATCTGGCTTCTTTCCTGGGGTTCTGCTAATAGCAATTAGTATCATTAACTTAGCTTTCTCTTAAGAAAGCTGGAAGGCATTTAGATTTGTTACATGTTTTGAAGGATCAGCAGCTTCTGAGAAGTATTGTAGTTACTGAACAATCTGGTAGTTTTGCATAATCTGAGGCTTTGTATCTAGAAAAATGGGTCAGACCATACTTTGGAAATGTCATAAGAATCACAAAAAAAGTAGTGAGAACATTTAATGTGGGCATCCTTCCTGCAAGTTCCTTGTATATCCATTCTATTTTAATCAGCCTCAAACTTGTGTAAAAAGAGACTGCAGTATCATAGCAGAGCAGCAACTCCAGACAAAAAAGGCCTGATCTGCTGTGGTGAAGGACTCGGATCAGTGACAATTGCGTCCTGTACTAAGCAGAAAGCAACTAGATTTATACAGGCTGGGTGCAATGCAGGAACCCAAAGCATGATGTAGAGGGAACTCTAATTCTCACTGCTTCAGCAGAGTGTGCCCGTGGCTGCTGCAGTGGAGGAGCCTGGCTGAGAGGAAGGAGGAAGGTTTGAGAGACACAAAAAGCAAAGTGCAGAATTAATGGGGCTAAACTCTACCTGCATTTCACAGCAGCAATCGAATAATGCTGGTTGTTGGCATATCACAGTCTCTGAAATATGCTTCTAATGCACTTCTTACCCAGGAAGCCCAAACATACAGTTACGTGGATGTTCTATTTGTTAATTCTTCTACAAGTTTATTAGTACATTGGGTTGATAGTTTGAATGAATGTAGAAAGAGTTATAAGTTGCTTTTTAGTTCAAGGTGGGCTAGGTACACGACTGTATGTATCGAAAATAAGTTATATACACTCACTGGAAACTTTGTACACCTTATAACCTCAGATTGCATTTTCTTTCCTAGCATTGATTCTGGAAACATATGGAGAACTCTTAGAGACTTTGATAATGCCCCCAGCCTAAGATATCCCTGGAGTAAATCTCATTGCCAAGAAAACCTCTTGAGTGTTCTTGGAATAGATGCAAATCAAAAGGTAATTGAACAACAGTTTGCTAGTGTGCCAGCAAAAACACTCGGTTATGAATCTGCTTTTCTCTAAGCTATGCGTGCAGATGTGTCAGGAACTAGAGCTGGGTGAGTCATAAGGTTTTTTGCAGAGAGCTTTCTAAAGTGATAGTCTGGTGTTTTCTCATTGTTATGTGTAAGTAACTATGAAATTGTGCAGGATCAAATTTTGATTGTCTTTAGATTGCAGTCACTATGTAGTGCCTGGGTACGTTCAGCTTTAGTACACATGTAGAATTAGCTTCCAGATGTGTGTGCAGTAAGAGGGTTTTCTTTTTTTGCTCAGAGCATGAGAAAATTGTTAGCCTCTAATACCTTTCCATTAAGTGAAAATCAGATTTGAATCAGAGAGGCTGTTAAAGTAATTACTGAATGTTTTTACTGTATGTGAACTGACAGTGTGTTCCACATCACTTTTCCTCAGATTGTTCTGTTTTTGCAAGGTTTGAGGAAGAGTATGTTTTAAATTGAAAGCGAGACTAAACCAACAGTACTGTAATATCTCAAAAAGAAATGTCTCTGTTAAATCTCTTGTTTTGGGAAGATAAAGGTATCAGAGATGCTTTAGTATTTGACCTGGCTATTTAATTGGGATGAATTAGCCACACATGGTTTTCAGAAATAACTGTTCCAGTTGATAATTTGATTGTTGAAGCATGGGTGGGGATAGGAGTTGGGGACAGGGTACTGCTTTCAGTTTGGATTTTCTGGATGTATTTGGGCTTTCATGCAACTTATATACAAACAGAGCGACAGTGCTGAAGGTGTAGGACTTATCCTGCACTTGAAAGACACTTTTATAGAACTGTTACTTGAAAGAATAGGAGATGTTTCTCTAACATAGTTGAACTCCCCTTCTGTTCCTTTCTTGCACATAGATACACCAGCACTAAATCAATGCCCAGGCAGCTTAAATTTATGGTAATTTATTGACATATGTTAAACTTGTTGTATTATTTTTAACAATGCTGATTAAGATGTATTTTTCAGCTATTTTCTTGTGTAGTTTAAGGCTAATTTTAATTGGAAATGGATTTTTATTAAAGTCACAATTAGATTCATGTGTGTAGAAGTAGTTTTGGGATAAAATTGTTTTAATTCAAGGGGGGGACATGATAAATCAAAATACAGCTTCAGAAAGTAAAACATTATTTGAGAGGAACTTCTCTTTGGGTTATATGCCTTGAGATCAGATAGAAATTTGTAAAGAAAACGTAAATTATGCTTTATTAGGACTTTTCTGAGAGCCAGGATGACATTTTTGAGGAATCAAATGTTAAGAACAATGAGGACTGCAGATTGGATGGATTCAGTGTTAATGACTGCAAAGCACTGATCCAGACCAAGGTAAGAACTCCTATCTGACAGCGTTAGAGAAGGTACAATATAATATGCCAAGTGCAAAATGATGTAACATGGGGGATACTTACTCATTACTTATGCTGGACTTTAGGCCAAATTACTTACTGGTTCAGAGAGAGCAGCAATGTATGTAGTCAGGATGCTCTAATGACAAAGGAAGATTAGTCTGTAGAAGGATCAACACAGTCACTGAGGAAGATGATTGTAACTCACTCTTAAAATGAGTGTATGGTAAGAGGGACGTTGGAAGCAAAGCTGGTAGAGAAGACGTTGCATTCAAACTTGCATTTCAGATATTCAGAATGATTCAGATTTGTTTAATTCACTTAAGGAGAAAACAGGAGGAATGCAGAATTGATGTTATAATTAAAAAGATTTGAGAATGTTGCTGTTTCAAGGCTGTTACAAAACCTATAGAGAGATTAGATTGAAATATTTTGCCATTAGTGCATTTACGTCTTTAGTCAAACAGGTCTTGATAAGCTATGTGTCTTTCTTGCTAAAGCAATAATTCTGTTCTGCTTTCTTCTACAAGTACATGAGGGTGGGATCACAGTAGCTGATACCTACTCAGAATTGTCGAAAATACAGAGACAGGGTTTATTCAAAGGAGAAGCTGTTCAAAGTAGATTGAGTGAAAGGAATCATGATACAAAGTTAAGGTAGATGAACAATATTTTACCAGAGTAGCCTCTGAAGGGAAAGAACAAGTCCTGCAGCTTGGTGTCTCAAAGCAAAGCTCGTTAGGAAACTTATGTTGCCATTTCTAATTTTAAGTTAAACTGTATAGTGGAGTGTTTTCCTTTTATTTCCAGTTATGTCCTTTTTATTTTTATCATGCTATTTTTATGAAAACTCTAGAAAAATTAGATCAAAATATGTAAAGTGATTAATTGACTGTAGGATGGAAAAAATTTAACTTGGTTTTCCTTTTTCTCTCAGCTTTCTGTATCACTGGATTCCAGACATGGCCCTCTTTTCACCCACAACCTCTTTTTGAAGACTACATCACCAAATGAAAGCGTGCAATATATAACGAGCCCAAGGAAGAAGCACATTTTTGCTACACACAACCTAAAAATGAAATTTTTCGGTAGTGGTATTTGTTGAACCAAATGCACTTTTAAATTTTTTTTTTTTTTTTCTTTTTGAATTGAGTGCAGTTTTTCTTCTTTTTCTTTATTGGCTTGGTACTATAGACCACATGTGTTCTTTAGGAAAGCGACATATTGCTGTGTATGAGGTACCTAAAGCCATGTTACTAGAAGATATTTATCCCATTTAGTTGTGAAGTACAAGGTGTAACTTTGTCCTTGCTGCAGGGTCATGTCTCTTACAGTAAATCCAGCTGCAATCTCATTTTTTAAAGGTTCTCTGGACTACTCTCCTGAACTACTGACCTCTCAGGCCTTAATGCCTCTTGGATCAAAACCCTTGTTTCCCTACCAAGGTGTAAATGCACCTCAGGCATGTTGCAATGTGTGCCTCGTCACCATCTCTCCTCACATTTGGTCCAGTTTGGATCAGTTGAGATCTGTTACTTTTCCACTGCTGAATATAATGGGAGGAGCCTCCTACATCTGGTGGCTTTCCACGTGGTTTAGGAAAATAAGTGTTTTAACTGCTGTCTGATAAATCTTGCTGTGGTGATGTGGGTAGGGTCAGTGAAATGTTTTGTTTTGGCATTAGTTTCTAACTGAAATAAACCACCTCTCTGAAGCTGATTTTAACAGGACTTCTTGGATTCATTCAGCTACCAAACGTTTACACCACATGTGACTGCGCCTGTTAAAGCTTCACAGCCCTGTAGTTCAGGACTTGCAATGCACAATGCTGTGAACTGATGCCCTTTTAAAAATTTATAGTAACTCTTGACTATATTGCCCATGCTCTTGCATGGTTCAGTGCCAGAGGGGAGGGATGCACTTCACCATCGTTCGTATAAGCCATGGAGCTTCCTTGCCAACTGCAACGGCTTTATTCATTGGCAATAACTTTTACACAAGTTACTAATCTGCTTACTGCTTGGGCCATTCTGACTATGATACTTTTATATAGCTTTTTATTTTATGTGTTAAAAGCAGGCCACAAACTTACATATTCCAAGAGTAAGCCAGTTTATTATTTAATGTGCCTGTTTTGTTCTTAGAATTAAGAACACCACAAAGCACTGGCAGACTCCAACCCATAATCTAGTAAACTGTTCAGCAGTGAAGTTACAATTGCTCTCACTCAGAACTTCAGTGGTGTTCATGATGCCTCAGTGCCGTGAGCGTAGGGGAACGGTGCGCGGGTTACTCGGTGGATGCCAACAGGCCATTTGGCAAAGTGCTGTTGGACAGTGGCTCAGCAGCTGCCCTGGCCCTACAGGGAGCTCTGTGTGCCAGGCTGAAAACTCCACATAGACCCAAGAGCAGGGTTAACTTCTTCACTTAGCACTGGATTTGAATTCATTTTCCATTTCACTTGTATTTCCAAGCACTTAAACGGGTTATTAAATAGGTTGTAGACTTAAACTCACAGAATTAGTAAATTGCCAATAAATGATATGCAGTCGAGGTTGGTAATAAACAAACATTATTGAAATAAATTATAAGATCCAATTTTCACGCTTTCAGACATGCAGAGCCCTGCAGAAGGGCTTGAGGGGACAATCTGTAGCTGGGGCTGATGCACCAGAGTCCCTCACACTCTTTTTCTTTGGGCTTCCAAGTTTGCCTTTGCTTTTGCTAACATCGGGTGAGTGTATCAAAGAATGTTCTGTGCTGTTATCCTAGGAGAAGGGTGAATACATCATCTTTTCCTCATTGTAGCAGGTTTTACAGCCATGTTCAAGGTATGTATAGTCCTTAAAATTGTGCAGAGTAGGAGGGCAAAGTTTTGGGAAACAGCATATTGCTAGCATTTGTAGACTTATTTTTGAAAGGTCAAATAATATGTAGAATTATTCTATTATTCTAGTCTTTTATTCTATTTTTATTCTGTTCTTTTATTATTATATTAGCATTCCAGACCCTAGGATGATTTCTAAGTGTATCATAAATCCTCCATTGGTTGGACATAAGCAGAAGACTTGGAATAAAAACCGAAGCAACAAAAATCTTGTAAAAGCTTAAAGTTTCTTTTCCGAGTACAGGGTCATTACAGGATTTAAAAGCACTCATCTTTTTAGTAGTGAAGATCAGTTTTAATAGTCCTCCTATTTTTTACTCCCATTAAGATGACAGGGGGAACTTAGCTAAAACTGAGCTGCTCTCAGAATGATTGTTAAAGCCCAAACTTCTCTGTATGTCCAAGTTTAACTTGCCCGATCCACTCTGGAAGATGCCAAGAAAACAAAGACAACCCGCCCAGGCAGCAGATGCGACAGGGTCGCTTCAGCCACATCTAGCAGAAGTTCTCCAATTCTGCTGAAATACAGATGTGAACTTCCAAAGCTGCAATCCCCAGCACAGCCAGGGTGCCGAAGCACCGCTAGCCTGGCTTAGTGCTCTGCTGGGATACATGGGCCTTAAGGATGGAAAAATGCATGGAATGAAGTTGCAACATTTTCTTCTTTTTCAATCAAGGCAAGATGCCTGTGAACGCTGGGCAAAAACTTAAATGCCAAAAATCCTCCAGCTTCCCTGAACATCTGCTTTAGTAATATTTATAGCTGCATCTTAATAGCTTAACTCTTTGCTTCATTGGGACTGGCTCATGATTAGCTTTGTAACTAATTATAACTCATCTCCCTTTTTTTCTTTTATTTTACTCTTGCTTGAGTTTGGAAGTGAAGTCTCACTTCTGGTGTACAGAACACTGAGCCTGGCAGAGCACACAGGCATCACCTGTGCCTCCCCAGACAGCCCTGTTTTAAGCCAGCATTGCACTGAGCTGTGCTGCTCAGCACACTTTTAAGTTCAGCTCTTTCTGTATGGCTAAAATTGATGAGTAGGTGAAGCCCTATACCACCTTTAAAGAGTCTTGACATGACCTGAAAGCAATACTTCAAAAACATTTTCTTTTCAGAACCAGATTTCCGTGAAGAAGTTACTGCCCGACCTGTGCTTTCCATGCGGTGGTCAGCGAGACGAGGCAGGAAGAATTCCTGGTCTGAGAGCAGAAACCAGTGCAGTCTCACCAATAAAATGAAGTTCACTGCAGAAGAGTCAGGATCTCATTTTAGAGGCCCACAACAGGCAGAGGTTGGATAGCTTTAAACCTGACATCTCTGGTGTAGTTTTTATTAGCAATGTCTAGCAGGCAGTGTTCCACTAGCACTGAGTGGCAGTGTTTTTGTCCCAGACTGACAAGCATAGAAGTCTGAAATGTCAACAGTATGTGCATCAAGGACACTTGTATCTGACACTCGCTTTCAAGCACAGCAACCCCTGAAGCAACACTTCAGGGCCAAGGCTGCGAAGACAACCCAGGGCAATCAGAACCCAGAGGACAACTAAATGCTAGCAAACCTGTCTTTGGGACAGGACTCCCACCACCCTGCTGGCCAGGGAAAAGTGCTCTGTGGGGACAGGATGCACAAAGGGGGAACAACGGTGGAGGAAAAGTTAGTCAAAACTTGGAGCTCATGGTTTAAACACTGATAATAGCTACCAGCATAATATTAACAGCTAGAGCAGGCAAAGCCTATATATCATGGCATATGAACTGTAACTACCATATTACAACATAACTTAACTACAGAATCAGCCAAAACAAACCTGGGAGGATGAGATATTGTGTAAGAAGATGACCACTTTGCATCCACTTAATAATGATACAGCAAACGAACCCAACAAGTAAAAAGCAAGGAGACCCCCAGACCTTGACAGTAGGAGTTATCCTGTGAGGGGCAGGGAACTTAACACTGTAAGGAATTATAACTGCCCCTACCCATCTCAAGATGTAGCACCATGATTAAAAAGTGCTTTCATGAAGGTGATGGCCCGTGCAGAAACCTAGAGTCAAACCCTGTTAGGGTGGCTGGCACGTGTAACAGCAAAGCTCTGTAAGGTGTTCAGGATTTCTGGGACGAAAGCAAAGTGGAGAGAAAAAAAATAAAAATAAAAATGTACAAAAAAGCAACCACCTAGGGAAAATGTAAATGTTATGTCATCATGAGTGAAAGGCCAAATGAAGGGGTGGTAAGAGACAATGTATTTTTGTTTTTCAAACAGTCAAATACAGAAGGCTTCAAAATGTAAATGGTTAAACTGCAAAACTGTGGCTTTTATTTCCAAACATACAATAAATAGGTCCACCACAACTAGCCTCTAACTTCATTTTACATGGAAGGATTTTAAAATTAGTTTGTGCATATTTAAAAATTAGACTTCCCTTTGCACATAATTCCATACATAACCGAACTGCATTACATACCAGCTTATGGTCTTGGCACTGTGATGGAAGCAACCAATCAGAAATACAGCTTTGTAGCAAGCACTTGAACAAAAATTACATTTTGAATTGTTGATAAAACAGCTACCAACAACTTAATCTTTTTCTGAAATACACAAAAACCTTTGCATGTCAATGCTGAAAAGCAAGTTGTCTTCTCTTATGCTCCCGTAGGGGCTGCAAAGTGAGTAAGTGGATTTGTTAAGTGTTCGCTATTTGCTACATGATACAATTTTAATAGCAAAATACCTTTACTGCATAGTAACATTCCATGTTTTCAAATGCAAAAAGAAATTAGATGCAGTCTTTTTATTTTCTCCCTCATCACTGAATTTAAAAGACATTTTAAACCACAACTCTGCTTCATCACAGTGCAGAAGGCCCTTAATATTTCAAGGATTTATTCAGTCGTATCTTTAATACAAAAGTAGAGGCTGAGGAAAAGCCAGAGTAGTCTATACACAATGCACAATCTGTGTACATTCTGAAGCTGTACCTCTTCAAGAACTATTTATACACTTTTCAAACAAATCCCTTTATCCAGCAATTCAAAATATTTTAGATCAGAAGTTTTATATTAGAATCAATACATTATATGCATATAAATACATTTATACCCTTCGGTTGCTAGACAACCCAGATGGCTGTGAGAATGTGACCTGAACTGGTTCTCCATTGGTTCGGGATACCAAATTGTATCGGCACCTAACTGTTACCCAAAACAGTCACAG